ACACAAACAACAACAACACCAACAACAACAACAACACCACCAACAACAACAACAACAACAACAACAACAACAACAACAACAACAACAACAACAACAACAACAACAACAACAACAACAACAACAACACCAACAACACAACAACAACAACAACAACAACAACAACAACAACAACAACAACAACAACAACAACAACAACAACAACAACAACAACAACAACAACAACAACAACAACAACAACAACAACAACAACAACAACAACAACATACAACAACAACAACAACAACAGGTCCATCAACATGTTATGCTTGGGTTGCAAGGTCTTTGTTTCTCAGGCGTGCGGGATGCAACAGAAGACAGTAGTCACTGGAACAAAGCTATTCTACAGGAGGCCTACAGTAGGCTAAGACTAGTGGAAAGCATTGGGCTAAGAAGGCCTCGCTGCATGATCATGAGATGGGCCCTCCTAGCGCCGAGAAAGCCGTGCACGAAAACTGGTAGGTCGTGGCTGCTGCACAAATCAAAAGTGCTTCAAACAGGACAAGAAAGGCATAGGGGCCTATGGCTTGAAAAATAGGCGATAGGGGGCTAGGAAAACCGATAGGGGCTTATGCGGCATACATAAGGTGGTTCGTGCAAATCCGGTAGGGGTCTAATCAATAGCGGTCTACAGGAATGCGACCAGGTCTATGGGTAGGGGTCCTTGGATGGTTTGGGAGGTAGGCGGAATAGGGTGCTATGCAAAAAAACCATAAGGGGTCTGTATCAGGGTCTATCGATGCCTATGGTAGGCGACTACTTACCTGACCCATCTTCGAGTAAGAGTCTGGAAAGTAGTCGCCTATCGAAAAAGGATAATAAAGGATAGACCCCTATCGGAGAGGATCTTCGCAACAGCTGGATGCGCAAGTTTGGGAGGTGGTGTCATGCAAACTTCATGATTCTTATACTTTCCAGTTCCACGGTTAGCCATGGCATCGCAGCAGACCCCTTTCAAGAAGCTATCCTTGCGGGACGAAATTGAAGTGTTCAAGCACTTCAGGGCCATTGTCATGATCATGCAGTTTTCGGCTTGCCTTGGTGCCGAGCTGGCGATGAACGACCAGTTGCACGTGGCCATACACCATACACTTCAAGACTTGCTGTCAGATGGATGCGGCAGACACCTCTGCCCTAGCAGGACCATTTGCTTTCATAAACCTCTGTGCCAGATCCTTAAGCATGGCCATGTTTTTCGTGAACAAGCTGCAGCTGAAAACATCACGACGCCTCATCCTCAATGTCATGCCGCCAGTGTGGTGTTCTGGGCCTTGCTGAGCCCTTGCCATTACTGAGCAGAGCATGTTTTGCAGACCGTTGTCATGGTCGGGTTCTAGTTGTGACGCAGGTCTTTGAGGCAGCTCTCTCTCTCTCTTCACTTCGCGTCGCTTCGCAGGGGAAGAGTCCGCTTGTCACGGACACGCGCCCAGGGGCCCCCTTCCCCATGCCATGGCCCCGCGGGGAACGGGGGGGTCGCCCAGAAGCCAACAGATCGAGGCGTGGCAGAGAAGTTTGCGGCTGGCTTTCCAGCCGCGCATGATCAAGCAGAACGGAGGCTCGTCAGGCGATCATCATCAAACTGAAAGCTAGGAAGAAGTGTAGGTCCTTCGGAGCGGGGTTATGCACAGACGAGGAGGTGCTGATCAGGAGCGGTTCACAACCATTTGCTGCCGAGTATTCTTGTACATCGGCAGACTTCGGCAGCTTTTCGCCCATCTTGCCAACCACACGTACAGGGCAGGTCGTGAAAGGCAGATGAAGTGCATCTGCCGCTTGCCGGTGCTGGGCAATGCTCGCCTGACCCGTGGAATCTATATTTACGAAACCTCCATGCAATTGATTTGCAAAAGACGCTGGACAGCCTTCGCGGCACCCTTGCACTCGGGCGAGGCTTGTGCTGTGGACAATCGCGCCTATGGCAAGGTCACGCGCATGGCGCAAGCCAAGCTTGACGTTGGGCTATGCGTTCAACCAGAACCTGGAGGTCATCCAACTGCTCAGCAGTCTGCAGAGATTGGCGATGCGTTCAACTGGAGCCCGGCTGGCATTTAAATATTTACACAGCAGCTTGCAAAGTTGGTCATTTGGCTATGTGTTCAATGGGAGCCTGGAGGGCATACAGCTACTCAGCAGTCTGCAAAGCTTGATGTCTGGCTTTGCGTTCAACAGAGCCTGGAGGGCATCCAATTACCCAGCAGACTGCTGAGTTTGACGTTAGGCTAAACGTTCCCCGTCGGAAGCAGCCGCCTTCAACCGCTGACAGCCTGAGTTTGTGATAGGCCCTTGGAAAGTTAGTCGCTCCCCAAGTGCCGACCAGCTAATCTTAGATGCTTCATTGAGCCCTTGAGTCACAGAACCAAAATCGCTGCCGCTCGTGGGCAATGAAGTGGATGCGGAGAAACTGTTACCACATCAGTGTGTATCCCATAGCCTTGTACATATCTGAGTTTCGATGATCGTGTTCGTACAGTTTGTTACGTGTCGCATATTGCTAGCGATATGTGGGTTCGGGAATTTTGATTTTGGACCTGCGCTTTCTGCCTCGCCCTAGAAGTTAGGCCAGCTTTTCCTTGCGGGCGCATCGCGATGCTTTTCCTGCATGGCTGGGTTTCTGTAATACCCGGAAAACCCACAAGCATTGCCGGCTTTTGTGGCCTTTCAGCCCGAGGCACCATGAGGGCCCACCACCTTTCAGGTGGTGACTTTTAACACGTTGAATTCATCTTGCTAGGCCTGCGTCTTCGACAGACTCCGTCGCTACGAACAAGATGAATCTGCATATGTATACTGTATACTTAGATGTAGATGTAGATGTTTTTGTTTAGCGAGAGCCTCCTATGTAAGGTCCTGCCCAGAGCTCTCTCTCTCTCCGGGGCATGGCCACGCGTTCGCGTTTGGAATGGCTGAGGGGGTGAGAAAACGAGCGTAACTCGTCTCTCATTCTCTCTCTCTTTTTCTTTCTGCCGGGCATAAGGGTCGCGGTGCGACCCACATGCCCTCGGCCCGCCCGACCACTGTTTGGTTTAATGTGAACTCTCTCTCTTCTTCCCCGGGGCGTGAGGGGCGTGCGAGACCCCTCGGCCTTAAAGGCCCCCCCGATGTTTATGGGGTTCTCTCTCTCTCTCTCTCTCTCTCTCTCTCTCTCTCTCTCTCTCTCTCTCTCTCTCTCTGTATTCAGCAGCATCCCGTCCTGAGAAAAGACATGGATGACATTGGTGGTGTCACATTGCGGACAAGTGTTCACCTAAGCACTGCAACTGGCCCAGCACTGCTTGCGAATGACTCAGGCACAGCTGGCCATTCACACACCGAGGGGCTGTGCCGCAAAGTGACGACAAGATCAAAGACATGCTGACTGATCGCAGCTGCAGAAGACAGGCACGACATGTGGGCTCAATCCAAGTCGTGCATGGACAACTACCTGGCAACAACATGACTGTTGAGGCGCAGCATGGTTTTCCAGTGCCCCGAAGCTGGCAGCAGCAAAGCTGCGGCTCGGCATGCTTCAGCACTATCACCAACTTCTGAAACTGTGACCTTAACACTATGCACATGACGGAAAGCCCACCGCAGCGCCCGGTGCTGGGAATCCGGCCAGAAGCAGCGGAAGGCCTCAATCCTGGCAGTCTGCCTTTTGAGTCGGTCGGTGCTTGACCATGCTGTTGGTACTAATGTGCCCAAATGGCTTGCAGTAGCGCACGTGCAACACAGCTGACAGAAGTCATGCATGTCCGGCGAACCAAATCCTCCTAGGCACAGAACACACACAGCCTGTTTCCAAGCTTCTGGAGGAGTGAGGCGAGGCACGTGCAGACTTCCCTGCATCGTCAAATCCAGACGGCACGCTGCAACGTTTATTTCTAGGACACGGTCGCCTGCAGCAGTGCCAGACTGGAGTCCGATGCACGAGGCCCAAACTCGCAGTTGGTACTCCCTTGAACGCTGCATCTCGCATCTGTTTGCTGCAAGTTGCAGGTCCGGGCACAGGGCCGTGGCTCCAATGCCACAGCTAAAAAGTTTCGGGCAGCATTCACGTGGCAACTGAACCCCTCCTCCGCCTGAGCCGAAGGCACGGCTCTGGAATCAGCCCGTGTCGTCTTAAACACTACATGTCGAAGATGTGCTATAGGTGCCATGAGAAAGCTCATGGGCAGATTCCAATCAAAGAGTTTCTGCGGTCCCAGTGAAGCACCAAATCACCAGGAACCACGGAGGTTTCAGAGAGCAGCAGGTGTAGACAACATGTAGAGACAGAAGGCTTTCTCAGACACAGCAAGGTGGGTTCAGGGATGTTCTCCCCAAACCCGACCGCCCTGGCCGTTGCCGTCTGCTGTGCATCCTACTTCTACTAGCTGCTTCGATCACGGCTCCGGTTGAGAGGCTGTGCAAAAAAAACAGCCAATGTCTCGAAGCGAGGCTTTCTTAAACCCCTACGCTCTGCTTGCAGCCACTCGCATCTCAACTGGGGCCTTGGGTGGCCCCGGCCCCGCCACTCTCCCTGGTGATCGTTGGTAGTTGACCCTCTTCACGTTTGCAAGGGCCGGGAAAAACTACGGTTCGGCACTGCCTGACGGCAGGTTTGCCATGGGCTTGCCAGGCACAACTACAAGTCCTGTTCAAAACATACTTGAGTGACCCCATCAAAATGTTCCCTGCCTGTCCCGAGCCCCCAAGCCCTTCACGTTCTGCAAACTTAGCAGGCTGTGTCTATCCAGCCTGCCCGGTCTTAATTTTGCGTGTCACAAAGAACACCGAAGCCATTCAAACGCCGTGCCTGGGCTGGGGCACACAGCGAACACAAGCTCATGTTGCAAGACCCTGACATGCTACTTGCATGACTGGTGGCATTAGTCGCTGGACAGAACGTCACTGCAAGATCGCCGGTTTTGTGAAAGAGAGCAGCTTTGCGAAGAGCTTGGTGAGGCAGTTGCCGTGCCCGTGCCGTCGTCACTTGGGGCTTTCGGGAGATCCTCGGATTCGCAAGGGCTGTACGGGTCTCCGAGCTTCGCGCGAGTGATACCCGTAAGGCCAGCCAGTGGTGTGGCATCAGATCGCATGGCATCCGGTTTTAAAGCCGCGAACTCTTCGGGTGTGATGCATGTGCTCTGTTGCAAAGCTGCCTCAGCCAACGCAACAAGATCCCGCATGCTGGCCACGTGAACTGGGCCTTGTGTCATGCTGAGGGCCCGGCGAGCAAGGGATATGTGTGCGGAAGGACTTTCTGCTTGCTCTGTCGCAGAGCTTGGACAACGTTCTGCTGCGCGGCTGCTCGGGCGATCTTGGATCGAGTTCGTGGGCTGTCGTGCGCCCAGAAAGCCAAGATCTGTGCTGCATCCGGGGCCGACTTCTGGGATTCTAAGCAACTTCTCATCAGCGTCAGCACTGCCTCCAGCGTCTGCTCAGTCGTCTCAGGCTCCGAGCCCGAGCCAGGCTCTAAAGGCTCCTCTTCAAAGTCGACTTCGTGCTCACGCGGTGTTTCCTTCTCCTTCGCGGCCAGGGCCCCCTGCTCGATCAGGTGAACGAGCTTGTTGAATCTAAGAGCATCCTCCAAAGTGCAGAGCTTGAAGCGTAGGAGAAGCAGGAGCTCAGGAACAGCCGCAACGAGCCCTCCCCCCCCCAACCCCAAGGCCTGTCCAAGGAGGTCCCTGAAGGAGATGAGGGTCCCGGCGGTTCCGGTCCCAGTCAGCTGGGCATCGAAGACTCTGACCACCAAGCGGAAGACGACGAACTCGAGCATCAGGTCCACCTCGAGCCAGCCCGGCGAGCCCGGCTCGTCGGTAGATCGGCCGTCCGAGCCCGGGCCGAGCGGCTCCGGCTCACGAGAGCTCAAGACGCTCAGGACGCTCATCTGAGCGTCGCCCGTCTGGTCGTTACCCATCTCTCCTTTCAGGTCCAGAAATCGGACCAGGCTTTCAAACACTTCCGCCGGTCGCTTTGGAGACCGCCGGACAACGTCGCCAGGAAGCGCGACCCGCACCTGCCCAAGACAGAGCGAATGATGAGCATGGACATGGGATCCTCTAGACGCAAGGTACGATCAACCATTCGGAGGAGCACGAAGCGAAGTGGAACCCTGCCGGCGGCCCTGCCGCTTGTGTGGCCCTGTCGCGTGTGTTGCTGGTTTCTTCCTGCTTCCACTTGGTCCCACTCAGTTCGTGTACTGCAGTGCCCCAAATCTTGTGCCAGAACTTTTCTCCCGTGCAAGCCTGTGCATGTCACGACTTGAGAGCACAACGACGGCTCTGGCCACCCCACGAAAAGAAGCTGCCAGGATAACAGACAGCGGTGTGTGCATTGGTTCGATTTCGATCTTCATTGAATTGGATCACAGGAAAACCGTGTCTGCACATCCAAGCGAGAATACATTTCGTGATATTGCTTCCTCAGTCTTCTGCTGATCTCTCTTTCGCAGATCGTCAAGCGAGCATCCGTGAATCAAGCTGTTGCCTCGGGGATGGGCGCCATGCTTCCCGCAAAAAGTTTTAGCGCTGATTGCACTTCAAATCCAGAAAGCTTCGGCAAATGAATGCTCTGCAACAAGATGTGAAAAGCTCCTCGATGACGCCTCCATGCTGCTTTATGCCTGGACATAAGCGAAACTCCAGCAGCTTGCCCGGCATTGTCTGCGGTCATGGGGCTGCTTAGTTTGAGTTTACAGGCCGCTTGAAGATCCTCTACATGCCTCTCTCTTTCACTCCGCGCGCAGCGTCTTTTCAAAAAGACCAAGCTTGAAACGGCCAAGCGCGAGATCAAATACACTTTGGGACGTGCGATAGCTTGGATTCGGGAATTTCGCCGACTGCGCATGGCAGGAACATAACATGCCTCGGGGTGAAACTCCAACTGTGGATGATGCTGATGGCTACCACCTCACTACCCAAATACGATTATGAAGAGAATCCAGGGACACAGGTTGCAAAGACTAACCACAGCCGCCCTTCTAGAGCTTGGCTTCTTGCCACGAGACGGAATACTGGGCTCAGACCTCAGACCTTCCCGGGTCCTGCAGTCACTTTAAGTGAAAGACAGAGGCTCCGAGCTCACGAAATCTCACGAATCGTGCCTTCATGAAGCCAGGATAAATCCCAAATGGACCTAAAAGGCTCGACGGGCCCCGACTGGGAGGCGCAAAGACAGCTTGAGACTCAGCCCGGAACGGCCTCGAGCTGCCCCATTTCCGCTCTCCCAGAGTCAACCTCGTCAGGGCCAAAGCCATCCCGGGACTTTTTCGGTGACAGTGAGGGCCCTGCCGCTCGCTTGGTTCAAAGGTCAGCAAGCCTGCGGCGCGACAGGACCATCAAAGGGCGTGTGGAATCGAAGACATCGCCATGTGATGGTGCAGCACGGAGGGAATGCACACAGCAGCCCACAAGATGTGGATTGGTCCTCACCTTCAAGAAGACACACTAGCGGCTCAGACATAAACTCCACGACCTGAGATACAGTGTGCGATGCACTCGCAGCACACTTTGCAAACCAATCGAAAGGTTGCGGCTCGCTGCGTGCTGTTCCTGAGCTTGCGCTTCGCTAAGTACCTCAATTGGAACTGCTTTTCGCGATCCCATGGGGCCGAAAATCTCTTGCTCCAGGTTCGGGCATCCCCACCGTCTTCAGCTGGGGGGGGGCAGGAATTGTATATTACAGTTTCGGCTCCCTTCAGGCTACGAACAAGCTAATTGTAAACTGGGGTGTTGGCTTCCATGGATTGGGCTTCTGTCGGGTAGGGCTTGAAACCTAAACATGCCGCTCGGACTGCTTCGCATCTTTTTGTCGCCACTGCAAAGGTCGTGTTGGCTCGTCTGTCGGTGCTCTGTGTGCCCGGCTTCGCCGAGTGGACGCAATGTTTCGGACTGTTGGGAGTTTAGGGATCTAAGGTTGAGGCGGGTTAAGATTGAGGTGTTGACACGGCCAAGCCCTAGCCCCAGCAGCTAACTTTTAACGGACAGGCTCGACCATGACATCGAAGCTTAGAGCCGCGACTGCTTCACCCCATGGCTAGCCAGGGCGGGGCTGTTGCGTCCACGTCTCGCACGAATTTGGCAACCGACTTCAAGGACCCGGATCGGCTAGGGTGTAGCTCGGCCAGCATGTTGAAAACATGCGAAGAGTAGACAAGACCGGTCTTTCCTAGCAAAATGGTGTCAAAGAACATGATGGCTCGGCTGCACACCTCTTCCCATTTGAGAGCCTTCTTGCCGGAGCGGAAGCACTCGTTGCCGTCTAGCAGCGGCGTGGAGGTGCTACTGTACAAATTCGGCAATCGGCGCAGAAACAAGGTAGCATTCTTCTGTACAAGACCCGGCGTGAACTGCCGGTTGTTCCAGCCCTCAACCGCGGAGCTCGGCAATGCAACGATCTGACAGGGAGCTTCAGGGATACGGCTTGCTGGAGACGATGCCTCGATTGGACCAGGCCCGTGCCGGTCTCCATGCTCGTATGGCTATTGCAGCATATTGCGGCGGCTCAGGTCCGGGCCTTCCTAGTGGAAGACATGGTCGTGGCCTCGACTTCGGCGCAGTGCAGGCATGAGCCTCGCCTCTTCCTGATGCAGGACAAGCGGCCGGAGGCAAGAGACGAGGACATAGAGGCAGGGGACTTATCCTTTCTGCTGTGTGCGACTATCTGTGTCTTTCGTTTGCCGCAGGTTCCTTGTACCGCGAACGGCCGCAGGCCGCTGAAATTGTAAATTCGGGTGGGGGGCATGTGCCGATAGCTGCTGCAGGACAGGCTTTCTGCGGATGCACCCCCCTGCATTTTACATATCCCGGCCACCCGGACCAGGTTCAGGAGATCGTGGGCGAAGCCCACTTGGAATCGAGACCATCCGAGAAGGAGGCCAGGACAGGCACAATTGTAAATTCGGGGTGGGGGCATGTGCGGAATCGCTGCTGTGACCGGCCCGGCCGGGACTGCCCCCCCCGGCTTTATACATTTACTGGCTGCCCTTTTGCCTGCCCGTGGCAGGTTCCTAGTGCCGTGAACGAAGCGGAGCCGGGACCTGGGCCAGCCGTGCCGCAGGCCGTGGAAATTGTAAAATCGGGAGGGGGGCATGTGCCGACGGCTGCTGCAGGATAGGCTTTGTGCGGATGCACCCCCCTGCATTTTACATATCCCGGCCACCCGGACCAGGTTCGGGAGATTGTGGGCGAAGCCCACCTGGAATCGAGACCATCCGAGAAGGAGGCCGGGCACATGCCGGGACTGCATTTCCTAGCTGCCTTTTTGTCTGCCTGTTGCAGGTTCCTAGTACCGTGAACGAAGTGGAGCCGGGACCTGTGCCAGCCGTGCCGCAGGCCGCTGAAATTGTAAATTCGGGTGGGGGGCATGTGCCGACGGCTGCTGCAAGACAGGCTTTGTGCGGATGCACCCCTGCATTTTACATTTCCCGGCCACCCGGACCAGGCTCCGGAGACTGTGGGCGAAGCCCACCTGGAATCGAGACCATCCGAGAAGGCTTTTTCCGGCTTGGAGTCTGTGCCTGGCTGCCGTTGTGTCTGCCCGTGGCAGGTTCCTTGTACTACTACCCTGAACGAAGCGGAGCCGGGACCTGGGCCAGTCGTGTCGCAGGCCACTGAAATTGTAAAATCGGGTGGGGGGCATGCGCCGACAGCTGCCGTAGGAAAGGCTTCGTGCGGATGCACCCCCCTAAAATATACAATACCTCCGCCCCTGCCCGGGCCAGGTATGTGACGCCGTGAAGAAAGACAAGCTGGGAAGGTTCGATGGGGCTGATGGAGCTGACGAGGCCGGGTCCTTCACAAAGGCAAACAACAACAACAACAAAAAAAATGCACGCCCAACGCCAAACCTTCACGTGGCCATCTCCATGAACGTTGTAGAGATGGGCAAGCTGTTGATGTGGTGGGTCCTGTACGATGGGGAGGGGAAAGCCAGAAATATGACAACAACTTACATCGATCCTCCATTTTGTTCTTCAAGGCGTAGTTGGAGGCGTCCGTGAAGCTGCGGCACTTCTTCTCATCCGCGGCGATCCACGTGTCTCGGTGGACTGCAAAGGAGGGGACTCTTGCCTCGAAAATGGAGGCTGCGCCGGGCCGATAGTTCGACCCACTAGCTTCAACATGCTTTACAACACATGGGCCTCCACCCTCTTCCCCATAGACTCCTAACACAAGTGAGCCTTGAGATCGGCTGGCCCTTCTGAGGGCCGCTTCGCCTCTCCCCCGACTGGATGAGGCGCCATGGGCCCGGCTTCGGCTTTCGAGGCATCCCTGAACCGCCCTGAATGTGTCTGCTCCAGTAGTGAAAAATAATCAAAAGCCCAGTGCCGACAATATGGCTTGCTCACCCCTCCCCCTATGCCGTCATAGTGGCTTAAGATATATACAGTAAATTTGCTAGAACCCGTGCCAAAAAGGTGGCTTAGTAACCCGTCCCCCAAAGCCGTCAAAATGGCTTAAGATCTTACATAAGAGATTCTACAACGTCGTCAGGGAATGTCTAGGACCTAGGATCATTGCCCCTTTGCACCGAACCAGAACCACAAGGTTTAGATCCACAGGGCTTTTTCGACAGAGTTGGCTTTTAAAGACGTTTACAGACTTTTAAAAACTTTCAAATGAAAAAAAAAACATTCTAAAAACTTTTAGAAGACTTTAAAAGACTTTTAGAAACTTTTAGAAGACTTTTGCAAACTTTAAAAGACTTTTCAAAACTTTAAAAGGCTTTTAAAATATTTAAAAGACTTTTAAAAGCATTAAAATACATTTAAAAGCTTTAAAAAGACTTTAAAAGACTTTTAAACGCTTTTAAAAGCTTTTACAAACTTTAAAAAGAATTTGAAAGACTTTTAAAGACTTTAAACCACTTTTAAAATTTTTTAAAAACTTTAAAACACACAAAACAAAAACTACATTTTTTAAGGTTTTTTCTGAGAAGACGAGGATGAAGAAGACCTGGCACAGGGTTTACAGTTTCAGGGTCTTTAGGGTTTGGGGTTAAGAAGGCAGAGTGCCATAGTATTAGGGGGTTGAGGGTAATGAAAGGGTTAGGGTTAGAGTTTCAGGGTCTTTATTATATTTAGGGTTTGGGGTTAGAAGGCAGAGTGCCATAGTATTAGGGGTTTGAGGGTAATGAATAATGAAAGGGTTAGGGTTAGAGTTTCAGGGTCTTTATTATATTTAGGGTTTGGGGTTAGAAGGCAGAGTGCCATAGTATTAGGGGTTTGAGGGTAATGAAAGGGTTAGGGTTAGAGTTTCAGGGTCTTTAGTATCTAGGGTTTGGGGTTAGCAGGCAGAGTGCCATAGTGTTAGGGTTTGAGGGTAATGAAAGGGTTAGGGTTAGAGTTTCAGGGTCTTTAGTATATTTAGGGTTTGGGGTTAGAAGGCAGAGTGCCATAGTATTAGGGGTTTGAGGGTAGTGAAAGGGTTAGGGTTAGAGTTTCAGGGTCTTTAGTATTTAGGGTTTGGGGTTAGCAGGCAGAGTGCCATAGTGTTAGGGTTTGA